GAGGTGGTGCTCTCCCCTACCCTGGGGGTCTTCAAGAGGAGGTTAGATGAGTATCTAGCTGGGGTCATCTGAACCCAGCACTTTCCTGCCTATGCAGGGGGTCGGACTCGATGATCTATGGAGGTCCCTTCCGACCATAGCATCTATGAATCTATCTAGGGCTCAGTGAACAACTGTTCACTAGGACACCCTTGGGGAAAACTAGGAGTAATGGTCACAGTCTGGACACCCTAGTTGTGAAGTAATTTTTCCTAATGTTGAGCCTGAAATGAGCCTGAAACTATCTTCCAGGATTTTGTGACCAAGCCCTAAATGTACACTTCTGATGTAGCAGTAAGCTGCAACCAAGTCTCCCCTCAGCCTTCTCTTTTTCAGGCTGAAGAGGCCCAAGTCCTCAGCTTTTCCTTGTATGGCAGGCCGTGCAAGTCTCCGATCATATGGTTAGCCCTTCTCTGGACTCTGTCAAGCTTTACCGCATCCTTGTTAAGGTGTGGAGCCCAGAACTGGATGCAGTACTCCAGCTGTGGTCTCACCAGTGCTGAGTAGAGCCGAGTAGAGCAGGAGAATCACTTCTTTGCAATGGTTTTGCTGGAGATGCATCAATTGATGCATGCCAGAGTATTGTTGGCCCTGCTGGCTACAGTATCGCACTGCTGGCTCATGTTCATACTATGGTCTATTATTACCCCCAGGTCTTGCTGACAAGCAATGGGGGATCTTCAGTCCTGCTGCCTGATGAGAGGCAGCAGTTGCACAAGCACACATACATGAGTTTTGCCTGTCAGCAGCTAGGGGTGCAGGGCCCCAGAACCCAGAAGCCCTGCACCGATCTCCTCGAGAGCTGGTAGGCTTTGTGGCCTCAGCAGCGCCTAGCAGCCAGGCCTGCAGTGGTTTTCCCCCTCTTTCTGCCCCAAGACAAACACAGTTGCACAATACCCCATGACACGAGTTGTGTCGGTCAGCAGCTACGGGTGCAGGGCCCCAGAACCCAGAAGCCCTGCACCGATCTCCTCCACAGCTGGGGCCACCATCCCTGCAGCTTTCACCCCACTGCACCTTAACACACACAGTGTCACCCATGTCATGAGTTTTGCTTGTTTGCAGCTTGAGGTGCAGTTTCCTCCAAACCCCTGCACCTATCTCCTTGAAACCTGGCAAGCTTTGTGGCCTCAGCAGGGGCTAGCATGCCTACAGTTTTGACTCTGCTGTGGCTTAACACATACACGTGATACAAGTTTTGCTTTCAAGATTTTGGGGTACAGTTTCTCTGAACCCCCTACACCTATCTCCT